TCTGACACATGGAAAACTCCAGTGATTGTTCGCAGTACAGAATAGTAGCCCCTCCAGTTTGGGAAATGGTATTGACTGTGTGTTTGCCAGCTATGAGGACTGGGAGAGCCAAAGAGGTAGGACTTTCAGTACCCAGGAATAAACCAGATTGGCTCTGCAGACACCAGTACCTCTCAGACCACACTGAAATCTTAATTGTGTGGGCCCCCATTATCTGCAAGGAAGTAACGGTTTAAATTGTGGGTCCAGGAGGAGATTCAAGGATGATTCCAAGAAGGTTATCAAGTTCCCAGCCTCCAAGCAAAAAGGGAGGTGATCAGCTTCCCCCTGGGGAGAGACAAATAGGTTTAACCATGGAGTCAGCAATTTGGGTCAGATAATAGAAATGACACTGAACAGGATTTTCAAGCAGGAAAATGGGTTAGTGAGGGAGAATGTGGACATCTCTTTTGGAGACTGTTTAACAGCTAAAGAGGTTAAGGTCTGCTTGGTGGCACCGTCCCACTTGGAGCCTAGCATGAGTTAGGGATCTCTGAGGTGGTGGCGTTCTTCCTACTACCCTGACTCCATTCTTCTCAGCTTCCAAGAGCAGGAGGGGACAATCCCTCCTCTGATTGCCACAGGAAAGATCTCTCCTGCTGTCCTCCTTCCAGAGGATCTTCAGAGCAATGCAATCCTAGCTGTGTCCTTCCTGAGAGAGCACATTGTGCTCTGTTTTCCCCTCCCTCGAGAAGCTGCTGAGCACGTTTCTACCTAACACTAAGATCTACTAAATGCAGGGAGAGAAGCAGCTCAGCTGGCAGAGGGATACCTGTCCTAGGTTCACCTCTTTCACTGGGATATCCACCTAAAACTTCCAGGTGCTCTGTGGGCTACCACTGGGCTGGGACTCTTTCCGTGGTGTGGGCGCATCCACACCAGGACCCAGTGTGGTGGGGTAAAGAGAGAGTGTGGTACACCATGTACTGGGAGTAGCAAGTGTCCCCTGCTTAGGCCCCAGATGGGAGCCACCTTGTGGCCCCATCATCCTCTACTTCATTCCGAAGAATTTTTCTGCAAGTAAGGAAATCTTTCTTTTAATTTAAAATCAAATAAGTGGGGTAACTAAGAAAGCTTTCATAGTTAAGGGAAGTCATGTTTTTTAATTAAGGAAATTTTTAATACTTTGGATTTGCAGGAAGAATTGAATGCAAACAGAGTCCTCACCCATCCCCAAGTCACACTCCAGTGCTCCCATCTCCCATGAGCTCCATGTGCTAATGGCCAATGAGCCAATAGTGACACATTATCTTGATTCAAGTGTGTGCATTAGGCTTCCGTGTTCCATGGAAGATGCCAGGCCTGGGCTCACGTGTATGGCACAAGTTCACAGCAGGGTAGGTTTGTGGGCTGACCATGCACGCAGGGCTAGAGATGCCAGGCACCAGGGCCCAGCAGGGTAGTGGGGTGTCTCATCCCAGCTGAGCTGCAGAAGAATTGGATGCCTTAGCACTAGGGACAAGTCCTATTGAAAGCCTGACTGCTGGGCTGTAAATGTGTCTTGTGTGTGTGTGTGTGTGTGTGTGTGTGTGTGTGCGTGTGAGAGAGAGAGAGAGAGAGAGAGAGAGAGAGAGAGAGAGAGAGAGACTGGGGATTGAGCTCAGGGCCTTTACACTAAGCTATATCCCAGCACTTTTTATTTCTGAGACAGGATCTTACTAAGTTGCCTGGACTGGGCTTAAACTTATCATCCTCTTGCCTGCAAGCTCTATCCAGTCTGGTTAGGTTATTTGATCCTCAAGACATCCCCCAGAGGAGCTCTCGTCACCACACCAACTCGAATGGAACCCACATCAACAGGCACCAAAGTCCAGGAACCTGGCCACCAGGCTGTCAGTCATGATAAAACAAAAGAAAAGAGTTTGGATTTGGCTGCTGCCTTTCCACACTTAAAGTATTTTACATCACTCAGTCACTGAAAATATTTTGAGGTCTTGATATGGTTGAGATCTTAAGTGTCCCCCAAAGCCAGCTGATAGATTTTGAGAGGTGATTGGAGCATGAGGGCTCTAAAATTAACTAATTAATCTATTCATGGATTATGATTTGATGTCATTATTGGGAAGTGGTGGAAATATAGAAAGAGTAACCTACTTGAAGGGAGAGGATCATGGTGGTGTGAATTTGGGGACTTCATCTGGTCCCGGCCCTTTCCTCTCTGACTCTTTCCTTCTCTCTGTTTCCTGGCTCCCATCTGTGAGCAGCTTCTCTGTCACGTCCTTCCACCAAGATGTTTCTGCCTCTCCACAGGCCTAAAAGCAATGGAGCCAGCCAACCATGGAAACCACTGACCTGTGAGCAAAAATTAATCCTTTTTCCTTCAAATTATGTCTCAAGTATCTTGTCACAGTGATGAAAAGCTAACACAGGCTCTTTATCCAATTCCTTGCCTCAGTGGTCTCAGAACTGCCCCACCCCAGGGCACAGTGAGGAACAGAGCCAGGAAGTGCACACTGCTCACCAGCCTGGCTCTCTCTCATATGCGAGAGATGAACAGCTGATCATCTCTGTGAAAATGAGAAGAGTAGCAGGGAGCTCTTCTGAGGAAATAAGAGATAGAGTAAAACCAGCCCCAATCTTGTTCAGCTGCATTCCAGAATTGTTTCCGCATGTGACATGGGTGGAATCACACACCCCTAGATCATGCCTAAATCCTTACCCCACTTCCTCTGGAAGCAACCTTGCCTGGAAATGGGCTCCAGCAAATGGTGGAGATGATATGAAATCTTCAGGGAAGCCTTAGTCCAAAGTGACTGGTGGCCAAGACTGAGCGATTAAGACGCAGACACACAAAGTGACAACCCTGTAAAGACATCAGGAGAAGAATCATCTAAAGCCAAAAGCAGGGACCTCAGGAAAATCATTCCCTTGGCATCTAGATCTGGGATGTTCACCTTGTGGAATTGTGGAGAAGTTAACATCTCTGGAATTTGTTGTGGCAGCCACAGGACACCAAGAACCACTTCCTGTTTATTGTTCCTGGCCACCAAGCTGACAATCTCAAGTTCTGGAAGAAGCTGAGTTGGAGAGCTGGGGAGGATTCATCACTCAGCTGGATTGCACTCTGGCACAACATGTCATCCACTGGAGGCCCAGCCCAGCCACAGGACCATAGGTAATAATGTGCTGGTTTCAGAAATGAGGAAATTCTCCCAAAGTTGTGGAGAAAGGGCAATTATCTAAATTAGGTTCCAGAAACAGTAGATACTTGGAGTCCTCAAGACTAAGAAGAAATAAGTCACACATGTGTAAATACCGAATAGTTTCCCTGGTGTGAATAATCTGCAATAATACATAAGATCCTAATAAGATTACTGACATTGAGAAATGGGAAGAAAGGAGCTAAAGGTGTAGGGAAGATGGGATGGGTAGGGGAAGGGTAATAAGGGAAAAGAAAAAAATGTGAGATAATAAAAAGATGAAAATAAAGTGTAGATGGGGAGGGGAGGAGGGGGTGAAGAGAGGGCAGGGGTAAGGGGAAAAAAATAAGAATCAAGACTTGTCATGTAGAGGTACATGATCCCAACAATGAATGTAACTGTACTGTATCCCTAAAATGTACCAATAAACTCAATTAAAGCTGAAAAAAAATGACTAAGAAGAAACTGGGCAGGATGGCTCTTGCCTATAAGCTCAAACATTCTTGGAGGCTAAGCCAGGAGGATCACAAACTCAAGCCCAGCCTAGGAAAATTATCAACTTAGACAGACCCTGTCTCAAAATAAGAAATTAAAAAGGAAGGAAGCTGGGGATGTAGCTCAGTGTAAAGGCCTTGATTTCATTTCTCAGTACTGGGGAAAAAACGTGAAGAAAACCTTGAGTGAGTGATCAGAAACATCTAATATTCAGATCAAAGTTCTAATTTTGATGTGATTTTTAGTTTCCCTAATAAAACCATAACCTCAGGTGGACTCGATAGTTTAGCATGTACATGAGGAAAACATTTGGGGATGCAGAGAAGGGAATTTAAACCATCAAGATCCCCTGAAAGTGAGTGGATTTTTAAAAAAATACATCAAAACAAAACAAAACAAAACTGAACCCAACATGTTATTGTTTGATTGTCTTCAGGAAATCCCTGCAGTGAGCAAGAAATGAAGAAGGAGGGGCCGGCCACTGCACCTGTGGGGTCTTAGTGGGTTTATGGTTCACCAATTTACTCCTACGTGGCCAAGGTCCTTCACACTGAGAGAAATTTCATGTTACAGAGACGAGTGGGAATGAAGAGCTGTGTAATTATTAGTTCTGTTGCGAGCAGATCAATCATTTGGGAAGGGCGGCTCTCCACAGTCGTGTATGACCTTTCCTGGAGCCTGGCAGCGGGGTACCCGCTCTAGCGCCCACGCTGCCTGCTTCTAGCAGCTTGGCAGCATTCAAAGGCGGGCCTGCATTCCATGTCATCAGGACGCTTGTAATTATGACAAATGATTAAATGCGTTATTTTCAGCAAAGCAATGGCAGGCAGAAGGGGTACAGAGGGCTGGGGTGTACTGAGGCTGTGGTGGCTTTGGAAGCTTGGCCCTTTGGGGCTGCGCACAGACCTGGTGCTCCCTGGTCCAGGGTCCTGAGGCTGGGGAGCTGGCTACTCTGTGCCCTAGATCCTCAGGTGCCAAGTTCTAGTGTGTTACCCAAAGCTGTCAGGTAGAAAAATGCAAACACAACAGGCATGTTTCACCAAGGGGAGGGTGCCCCAAGCCCAGCATTTCTAATGATTTGGGAAGGGCACCACGGGCTGTCCACTATTTCCGTAGTTCTGGCAGCCACAGCATGGAGTTTGTGGTCCAGCCACCTATGGAGTACCAGTGTGGGCCTTGGAGTGACACTGATTTGAACTACTTTCCTTTTCCCATCATTCCCCTAACCCCAGAGAAAAAGATAAAAGCACCCCCTAAAAGATCCTTGAAGTTTGTCTTTCATTTTACCTTACATCCCTTCGCAGAAGCAAATTTTAAAGCAGAATGGCTGCAGGTGCATCCAGACTTCATTCGCCAGCATTCCTGGTGGCAAGACGTTCTCCTCCTGGTCTGAACGCTCTCCAGATCAGCATCTCCCACCTCCACAAAAGTAGAAGGAAGAACAATGCTGATGTCAGAAGGACAGTAATTTTCCACGTTCGGGGGACTCAAAACCTCCCAGAATGCTCCCTGCCCCAGAAAGTCCTTTCCCCTTCTCCCACCTTCAGGTCCCAGAGTGGTTCAGGGAGTCCCCAAAACCTTGGGACAATTGCTATAGAGATGTGGGATTTTCTTTTGCCAACAATTCTTCTGAGAGCTGGTGTTTATTTACCGCCCCAACACACTTTTGCAGTCTGAGCACAGTAGCAGCCTGCACACTGGGGAACCTGCTGTCACCCGGGATCTGTGTGGTCACCGCTGTTTCTGGTTGACTCTGAGTTCCATAGCCATCCTGCCTTCCATCTCCCACTCTGTTCACACCATCTTGCTTTTCTTGTTTTCTCCATGGTCCTTCTTGAGGAGGAAACATCTCTGTAACCAAAACAAAGGACATAGCCAATGGAGGTGGAAGCTTCCACATCATCCCTTGAGGAGAAAATTCCCATCATGTGTCATTAAGAGCCATGGGTTAGACCCCAGTGACCCAGGGGACTCACTTCCTGCTGGCACAGTGCAGTCTGTGCTGCAACCTGATGGAGAAGGGAGAGAAGACGGGGCAGGCTCTTACCCTGGCTGTGGGGCGCAGCCTGAGATCTCACCCTGGGTCTGGATCTCTATTCTTGGACAGCCAGGTTCTGCCTAGCCTCCTCAAGGCAGGATCTCTGCCCAGGAGGCAAGAGCATGTGCCTGCTTGGTGAGTCACTCTGTCTCCCTGCTTGACCATCTAGATCTCTCTAAAATCTCCAAAGCTAGATGTAGCTAAAGTCACTGATGGTGCCTGGGTCCCCAAGAGCTCCATAGCAGCTACCCCTCACCCTCACATGGAGCCCCAGGCTCCGCAGCCAGATTGGATGTGGAAAGACCCCATTCAGCAGCAAATGCGTGAAGGACGCCATGTGGACAAGACTGTCTCAGACTGTCTTCTCAGCAGCCTTCCCAGGATGGGGCTCCTGGCTTTGTCTCTTGAGCAAGCAGGGATCCATGAGCAAGAAGGCACTGTGTCATGGAGGGACTGAAGGAGGCAGTGACTGTATGTCCTTGCTTTAAGGGTACCTGTCACTGGACTCTGGGTCCATCCTAACCCAGTCAAATCCCACCATAACTAAATACATCACCAACTACTCTCTTTCCAAACACATCACCCTAGCTAGTAACAGAGTTAGAACCTCAGTGTACAAGTTGTTTCCAATGAAGCTAAGTCTCCTTTAAAAATAATAATTCTCCACTGATTGGAGTCAGGAAGAAATCATTCCTTCAACATTGTACACAGCTGAGGAGGAATGAAATAAGGAGTGTCCCCTTCAAGACAGTGGCCCTCTCTTGGGGTGAAACAGGGTAGAAGAGAAAGGAAGGATCCTGTACACACAGACAAAGGTCTGGGCTGAGTGTTCCCTCCCAGTCCCTACTGAGTTATTCTGAGCAGGCCTGCACAACCCCTCAGCCTAGGTTTGTCTATTGGAACAATGGAGTAATAATGCCTCCTTCATGGAGCACAGACCATGGCTTTAATGCTTAGGAAATGGAATTATAGGTAGCCGGATCCCTTGCTAAAGTCACAGAATCATCCAGTACAGGAATCAGGTTGCACACACACACACACACACACACACACACACACACACACACACCCCTCTAAGACCTACCGGGAGCTCTGTGGAAAGATATGTTACTGTGACTATTTTCCTCATCCACTGATAATACAACCAGGTGCCCAAATCACCCATGATCTGTCAGACATAAAAGTTAATCTTGTTAGTTGTGTATTTTTCTGAGTGCATTTACTAATCAGAGGATAGGAAAATGCTACCATTTACACCCACACAGGTGTCTACATTCCTCTGCAAACCCAGGACACATGGCAACAGAGAGTACCCAGAATGTTATAGTTACTGCAGAAAGTGTAGCCTCCAGTATTCGGAAGTCCCTCTTCCTTTCCACAGAAAGCTTTGACTTGGGGAAGAGGTCTGAGGGTACCTGCAGTAACAAATCACACAGACAGGACACAATTAGAATCTTGACCTGGCCGTAGTAGAAAGACTAGTGAAAAGGATGCCACACCAGAGACAATCTCAAATCTTAGTGTCCCATGGGAGCTCAGCAGAAATACAATTCCCAGTGAAACTCAGGGCACTGAAAGCCTGGGGGTACTTTCTTTCCACTGTCCTTTTCAGCGTGCGTCTAAACACAAGCCAATCTGTGAAATTTTATTGTTGCCTTAGTAATTATCTAAATCTGTCCCCAAAACACTATTTTGACTGAATTCAAAAGTTTTCAAATAAATGCTTAAAATGTATCGTGTTTTGTAAAGCCATGTATACAGTCACATAATTCCTAGAGAAATATAATCAAAAACTCTTACTAAACCTGTAATTTAAAAACTCACAATGAACTAAACTTCCACCCAAACGCCATCTATCAAACGACAGAATGGAGCAGCCGGGTACACATAATCTCCGCATTAGTGCAAGCCGCAAATCTGTTTGGACAAATCTCATGCACAGAGAATGTGTTGGGCAAGAGCCTAAGACAGCCATGGACATGGCTGAAGCTACTAAACCCGCTCACCTACCTCACATGCTCACAGCCAGGAGGCAGAGTCACAAAAGACCCAGACACCCAAACCTAGGTCAAAATTTTCTCTATGCCTTTGTGTTTCACTTATACTGATGTGAAACCATCATATAAGGGAAGCTAATAAGAACCCAAATCTAACAGGGATATCAAGAGTAAGTAGATATTTTTCCCCCATTTAAAAAAGAAGTTCTCCAATACCTCAAGAACTATCCCCAAAGATTCTATTTTGACTTCTCATACAATGGTCAAAGTAAGCCCCAGCAATACACATATATGCGCACACACACACACACACACCACACAAGCGCGCGCGCGCATTGGTACAAACACACACATACATATACACTCGCAGTAAGTTAGTGCTGACAGGTTTTCAAGGTGCTCATCAATTTCTTGCCAGAGTTTACAGCTGCAGTGAACAGTTTGATGCAACTCTAATTTCTAATTATGCCTCACTGGGAAGTGGGGAGGTTGTCAGTTTTACTCCTCCCGTGGTGAGAAACAAAATGATTCTACTTTCCGCTGCCAACCAAATCATCCTATTCTTCAGCAAAGCTAAGAATAATCATCTAAATAACAAAAATCAACAGGAGTGATTAACATTTCAGGGTAGGCTCTGGCTTCTCTAGAGCAATGTGCCCATGGAACCGAGCACTGGGGGAAGGTCTTCAGAAAAGACTGGTGAGCTCTGTGAGAAGCAAATGGCCCCCATCACCCCAATTCTGCAGCAGAGACTCCTTTTTCCCTTCCCACCCCCAGGTGGCTGCGGTGACACTTCTCGGCTCTCACTTGGTTATCCCTGCTTTGAGGCCTGCACTGTGATGGGGGATGAGTGGGGGAAGAGGAGAGTTGTGTGAGGAAGATCCAGGCCAGTGGCCCTGGAACTAGTAACGTACTCTAAAGCATCAGTCACAGAAAAGGAAAGAAAGACTGCAAAATAGAAATGCAACAATGAATTGTGCGGCTTGGGGCCACCACTGTGCCTCTTTCCTCATCTGAACTGTAGTTTGGCACTTGACTGATGAGCTGCAGGGGGCCCAAGACCACCTATGAGAGACCTCAGCCCCAGGGGCCAGGTCAGTGCACATTCAACCCCAGAGGCATGGATCAAATGTCAGAGTGACAACTTGCACTTCAATAACTCCCTTTGGATTCTTTGGGGCAGAGAAGCATTCACACTGGAGAGAATGAAGGAGATTAAATGTTTATTCTGATAACATATCAGAGGGGCTTCCAGTGGGCAATGTCACCAGCCTTTGGGGCAAAGTGACAGACCCTCATCTTCTCATCAAAGAGGGCCAGATGTATATATTCTCCTGATGAAGAGTAATGGGGAAGCAGTGGGCTTGGGGGCTTCCCCCAGGCAACTGGCTCACCACAAGCCTGCAGGACCCCTCCCCAGTCAGATACAGAGTGTGGGGCCAATAGGGGGCACCTGGGAGCCAATGTGTCCATCTTGTGCTCTAGCCAGACACCAGCCAGCAACCTCTACTTCTCTGTAATATGAAAAACACTTATGACTTATCTTAAATTAGCAATGTTCTATAAGAGAAATTCCAGAACAATATGTAGAAATCTCAGCACATAGCCATCTAAAAATTATCCAGGTGTTCAAAGCTTCACTCTTCACAGTGACAACTGTATTTGGCAATCTCTTGCCTGTAACAGTTGCTGAGTATGAATATGAAGTCATTTATACACATACCATACCTTTAATATACTTCTTGTCCCTGGCACAAGCACTTGTAAAGACATGTGTGATAAATTTGCAGAGATTCAGAAAACACACCTCCTGTTCTTCAGTGACTTGTACACATCTTCGTCCTCATGCCCAACCACTCATTTTAAAAGTATTCCTTGATCAGGTTTCAGGAATTCGTTAATTTGGGCCTTTTAACACAGGGTATCATGTTACACTGCAGCATGACCTTGCTTGGCATGAGGTATCATAAAAGTTACACAAAAGGGCTCCATTCACAAGGACACCGGTGGTACAGTCCGTCTGGATAACAAGAGCTTACTTTAAAGGACGTGAACACAGAGTCAGTTCCCCCAGCCATTTGTCTTAAAATTAGAGACTTTCAACTGCTGCATACAACAGGCCACACAGGGTGGTTGGGTAATAAAAGTAACAACCCAACATGAAATAAATAAGTAAAGCATTAGGGAGAAAGGACTAATCGGATCATCTAAAGAGTTATGTGGCTGTGGTACATTATGAGGAATTATTTAAGTTATAATTTTCACATGGGCTATATTCTAGCTCAGTAAAAATTCCACATCTGGTTGAAGTACAGTGATGCAGGTATGCTATTCTTGCTATAAATTTTCCTGAGAATATAGTAGATTATATTTGGGCTATTCCTCGTGTTTTAGACACATGAAGTTAAGTAAAGCATTTTTCTTTCAGGTAATCAGGCCCAAAGTCACAAACCATAGGAAGAATGGTGGATGAAAATGCTAATGTGTTTGGCATCCACCATGAAGGTGTTAAAAGCCCCCTGCAGACTCTGTTGCATACACACAGTTCCCTTCACCTAGCCTACCTTCGCTGAAATCTGGAAGCTCAGAAGGGGCATTAGCCCATGCAGTGAACTTGCTGGCTGGAGTCTGTCCTAGCACATTTCTGAAGACCACACCACTTCTCACCTAGTGTGTGGAGTGGGGCCTCAGAAAGAGCACCAGTTTGATCTTTGGTGGGGTCATAGAACTGAGTCACAGATCAGGTTTATATGCACAGTCTCTCAATACATGAAGCAGTACACCACAGTATAGCTGTGATATCACCCAAGTGACTGGCAGGGCCAGCGTAGCTGGACTTCAAGACTCAGTTCATTGAGGCAACATCTCTGCAACTGAGATGCCTATGTCCCTTGTACAATACCTTGGATAGGGAGGACTTCACCATTCTGTTAGGTTTTCCTCTCATCAGTTTAATTGTGTCTCTGCAGTTCTAACCAAGGCTGATCTTTCTCTTGCCAGTTCAGACAGGGTTGTCTGCTTGTGTCTGAACTAATCACTATGATGTCACAATACAGCTAAAGTTCTGTGCTCCCTCCTGGAGTCGAGCCGTAAGATCAGCCACTGTGAATTCATGCACATTGGATGTTGAAAATTTCTCTCTTCCATGAAAGCAGTGGAGAAACTGGCAAAAAATTGGTAAGAATGAACTTTTTTAGCATGTTGGGAAATTAACAAAATGTTAGCAGCAATTCAGGGAGCAAATTATTCAGGAAAAATGACTAGATCTTGATAAGACTAGCAAGTCTTATCTGGCATCCTAACTGATCCTGCTCCCATCTTGCCTCCCATCCTGGGGACAGCAGTATCCATCAGAGCTCAGGAGGAAGTGGGGGAAGCTCATTAATATCCCACTCCCAAGTCAAGACTGGACCGTGGCTCCCAGAAGGACCACTTGCAGGGCTGCCTTTGTCTGACCTAATAGTTTACCAGTGGAAAGACTTCACTGACAGAGGTGTTTGGTTTCTGTTTATAATGCTTGTTCTGCTATTAAAAGACAACTGAATAGATCAATAATTAGAAATATGTGGTGATGGGCATGCAATATATAATGATATAATGATATAACATCCCAAAGGACAGGGCAGAGACCAGGCTATACAGTGGCACAGTCCCTAAAACTGAATTGGTATTTTGTATTTTATGTGATTTTAGTTCCTATTTTATTATTTTCTTTGAGGTTATATGTTTTCTCATATATCATTTTAATTCTTTCACCTTTCCTTTCAATATATTTTAAAATTTTTTTCTGATTGGTTGCCCCAAGGGTTAAAATTAGTATCTTAGTTAATAAAAATTTTGTTTCAGTTTAATACTAGCTAGATTTCAGTACTAAATAAGTTAAGTTATCCCAAATAAAATTAGATATACAGAAAACAAACATCAAAATGACTGATTCACCTTATCAGTAATTTAATTAAATGTTAATAGATAAACAACTCCAAAGAAAAGGCCGAGAATGATGGATGGATTTGAAAAACAACATCTATGTTACATGCTGCCTGAAAGAGGCATCCTTTAAAATCAAAGACATAAATAAATTAAAAGTAAAGGAATAAAAAATAAGGCATTGAACTGGGGATTAGCTCAGTGGTGTCACTGCCTGCCTTGCAAGTGCAACGTCCTGAGTTTGAGCCCGAGTATATATATAAAAAAAAAAAAAAGTCATCATGCAGTGATAAAGTGATCAAAAGCAAAACTAGCATGGCTCTACAAATATCACACAAAACAGACTTTAAGACAAATGTTACCACCAGACACAAAAAAACAAAAATGACATTTATAGTGATAAAAGTGTCAATCCTTAAAATGACATAACAATTATAAACATATATGGGCCTAACAATAGAGCCCCAATATAATTTTTTTACAGTA